TACTTTGTAAGTACAATAGTCCCAAGGTCATGGGTCCTTAGTTAAAAAAAATAGATAACAAATTCTAACTTTAGATGTAAAATATTGATTTACAAATTCTGAGTATGACGGGTTTTTTTTAGCATCGTTCTTACAATAAGAAGCTTACCAGTCTGAGAAGGATGGTGAATGACCAGATATACGTCAAGCTTTTATGCAGTTCTAATTATGGAAAGTGTCAATGACTCATTGCATAGACAGATCCATTTGTAGAACAGAAGGCATCCTCTAAACAGGAATCCTGAGCATTACTCCTTAAAATTGCCCTTAGGTTATAAATATGCATGCTAATCTATCATGCAAACACAAATGTAGCATTTTTAAAAGCTCAATCAGCTTTCTAATTATAGCTTAATGTTAATATTATGAAATACATTATTTTTGCAACGCTAGTTGACAGATAGTTTATTTAGCTGATAATTCTTTTTTTCTGGTGAATTCTTTATATTAATAATTCTTTTTTTCCCCCATTAACTTAGAATGGGGTTTAAAATGCTTTTAATGGTGTGAGTAACTTTTATGCCCTGGGCAATAATATATCTTACTGAGGTTAATAAATGCAATAACTCTTTCTTTTTTCATTGTATGATGTATCAATCCATAACGAAGACAAACAGTGGATTTGACTCTTATTGGGCAAGAGCAGGGCTGCCATCAGAAATTTTGGGGCCCCAGACACAGCTCAGGGTCTGGGCCCCCTGGTGCCTGCACCCAAGTCCACCCAACGTGCTGGCCCTCCCCCCCCCGAGTCCGCCAAGAGGGATGCAGTGTCTGTACTGATTCTGGTGTGTGTATAGTGGATGTAGAATGTGTGTAGTGGATGCAGAATTCGTGTGTTAAGCGGATGCAGTGTGTGTTTAACGGATGCAGTGTATAGTGGATACAGATTGTACATTTGTGTAATGTATGAGGTGTATATTAGATGCAGAGTGTGTGTTTGTGTAGTGGATGTAGTGTGTGTTTTTAGTGAATGCAGAGTGTGTATGTGTGTTTGTGTAGTGGATGTAGTGTTTGTGTGTATTAAATGTGATGTGTATAGTGAATGCAGAGTGTGTGTTTGTGTAGTGGATGTAGTGTGTGTGTATGTAGTGAGTGCAGAGTGTGTGTAGTGGATGTAGTGTTTAGTGAATACAGTATGTGGATGCAGAGTGTGTCTTTGTGTAGTCGATGTAGTGTGTGTATAGTGACTACATAGTGTGTGTTTGTGAAAGTATTTAATGTGTGTATAGTGACTGCAGACTGTGTGTGTGTGTGCGTGTTTGTGTAAGTACTGCAGAGTGTGTGTTTGTGTTAGGAAGTAGTATGTGTAGTGACTGCAGAGTGTGTGTTTGTGTAAGGATGTAGTGCGTGTAGTGACTGCAGAGTGTGTGTTTGTATAGTGGATGTAGTGTGTGTAGTGAATGCAGAGTGTGTGTTTGTGAGGTGACTCCAGAGTGTGTGTTTGTGTAAGGATGTAGTGTGTGTAGTGACTGCAGAGTGTATGTTTGTGTACGGATGTAGTGTGTGTAAATGTTAGTGAATAGTGTGTGTATATGTTAGTGTATAGTTTGTATAAATTTTAGTGAATAGTGTGTGTAAATGTTAGTGAATAGTGTGTGTAAATGTTAGTGTATAGTGTGTGTAAATGTATGGGGCTGCAAAATGTTGGGGGGAAAGCCTACAGGTTTTTTTCCATCCATTAATTGTATTTTTTTATTCCCCCCTCCCTGTAGCTCACCTGTGGCCATGGAGGGGGGAGATCAGATTGGCTGGAGCCCTGGAGCCAGAGGTCCTGAGGCAGGGTGCAGCCCCCGCTACCTGTATTCTGCAGGGGCCCAGCACACTTGAAATATATTGCCCAGCTACTCTGCTCTGTAGAAGTCTTGCAAGCCGTGCGCAGCGTTGCCATGGCAACGCTCCGATGATCGCGTAGCTCGCGAGACTTCGACAGAGCAGAGTAGCTGGGCAGAATACAGGTAGCGGGGGGCCCGCAGTGCACACATATATATAGTTAATCGCTATATATGTGTGCACATAGCTAATGTGGGGCCCGGGACGACCTGAGCAGTCCGGGCCCCCCAGGACCACCGGGCCCATGACAACCGTTATGGTTGTCATACCCTGATGGCAGCCCTGGGCAAGAGTGAACGTTTCGCAATACAGAAACACAGGAATTTAGAAAGGTTAGAAAAGACCTAAGAGTCTGGTAAGAGTTAGAGGTCAATTTGATTATTCCCGTTAATTAACGTAGACTAGTCTACATCCACACTAATTTTACTAATCATGGAAACCAGCTCAATTCCTATTCTTTTAGCTACTTTTAGTTTTCTTTATTTCTCTCACTGATATCAAGTTAAAAGTATAACAGACAAGTAACTAGGAAGTCCCAGTAGTATGTTGAGCAATTTCACATTAATTGATATAAGGTTTGAATGAACGAGCATTTTGACACAGAGTCACAGGGAATCCTAACTGGAAACTTTTGTCAGTGACTGTGGCAAAACCGACCTCGCCACTGGGCATTGGAGAAGTCTGATTGCCCGCCTCCTGCCATGTGACTATGGCCCCTGGGATGTATTGCCCTTAAAAGACATTATTTGGGCATAATGGATTTGTGTCGTGCTGCTGGCCCTTTAAGAACCATCTGGGGACATACTGTGGAGTTACTGGGTGGCCACCATTTCATGTATCAGAGGCACATGGTGAGAACAATGGATGAAGCACATGGTGAGAACAATGGATGGCAGCCATTTTAACTCACAGACACTGTGTGGACTTTTCTACACGGTGCCATCTCGCCGGTATTTGGCGCACACAGACATCGTGCAGTGGTTTTGGACTATACAACAGGAGACACATTATACAGTAATTGTTTTTCATATAGCCTGTATATGTTCTGTGGAATCTGCATTAAACTGTATCTTCCAAACTACTGAACGGATCTGGGTGAATATGTGGTTCACCCAGATCCCCCGGTTCAGAGGATATACTTTTTATGGGGTTATTGCATGTTTTGGGGTCCCTGTGAGGTGTTTTATGATACTGTATTTCTCTGCCTGTCATAATTATATTAACCATTGTGTTCAATAATCATATCACAGGCAGAGGGGAGGGTTTTGTGTGGGAGTGTCTGTGTGTATTGTACAGATTGATTGGTTGTATTTCAAAACCCTGTGGGCAGTACTATGTTTGCGGATTGTGAATAAAAGAGGCTGTATGTGCCAGTACAGTCAGTTCTACTTCACCCTCAATCTGAGTCCTGTCTCTTATTGGGGGAATCTGCTACAAGGGATTGCTATGCTCTGCATATTCCCTTGCTATAATCACTGAGCTCTTGAAATAGTTTGTTCCTGCTTCACTCTCTTGGAGGAGAGGTTCACCCACTGGAACCTGGAGCCTTGTCGTAGGTCCAGGGTGGGTAGGAGACGGCGAGACCCCAACCAAGCTGCGGCGGTTCGTGTGGTCTACGGTGGTTGTGGTGTCTGGCGGATGGCTTGGAGCCCTCTGTAAGCGGAGCATTCTTCAATGGAGGTACCCAGTCGGGGTGCCAGGTGAACCGTTACAGTGACTATGACCTCAGGCTAGTGATTTTATCTCCCAGAACGCAGGTGCCAAAGCAGAGTTGTTCAAAGAAGTCCTGGCATTAATGAAGATATAAACCAAAACAGAGAAGATTCGGGATGTGGCTGTGTAAATCTACAGAGAAAGCATAAAACAAAACATAGTGTGATATTGTTATAAAACACAATATTTCATGCGCAGTAATCTTGTGCACTCACAGGATGTAGGCAGTAAAAGCGCTCTTAAGGTGCCTTCCCCAATGGAATGGGGGGCTAGCTGGTGTTCCTTATCACCTCTGGATCCTTGTATCACCAAAAGACATCCACAGGTCAGGGTTCAGTAATAAAAAATTTATTTAGATAAAAATACGTGGGACGGACTAAGAGGATTTTGAAGGTTCGCCTATTAGAACATCTTAATAATATCAGAAAGAGACTGACGACACACTCAGTCCCAACCCATTGTATATCATGTCCCCTTTTTTCATTTAAGGATTTTAGATGTTGGGGAATTGAACGAGTCCACCCCTTCTGGCGTGGGGGTAATAGAGTTCAAAGACTAGCCCAGAGGGAGACGTTCTGGATACATAAATTACAAACCCTCTCACCTAAGGGTCTCAATATCGATATTGATTTAATTTGTTTTCTAGATTAATATGGCCTAAAATCTTTAGAACAAAGAGTTAGGATATGTGTGTTTGCCTTTAATTTGGGTTGTTTCTACAGTTGAAAGCTAATCCCTACTTAGAGAGAGGATTTATATATATATCAAATACCAAGTAGTTATTTCATATCCCTTATATTTTATTTTATCTTTTTTTACAATTTGTGATCTATTGTCCTATATGACCAAAAATCACAAAAGACTATAATAAAAACACAATAACCGATTATTCTAATATAAATAATGGATTTGCTCTAAGGATTTTCAGAGCTGGTATAAATTGAATGTGGTAGATTCACTAAATAAAGTTTATATGGGTAGTAGTCATTTTGTAGCCACAATCTACTAACCCCTTTTTTTGTGTAACCATAGTAATGGATTATTTCAATGTGTTTAATAGGTTTATCCCAAAGATTTTTATGGGGAGTACAAATATATAACACGACAAATTGAAGTTTAAACTGATACAGTGATGAATTGATTACGGTGTTCACTTTGATTAACAATGTATAAAGTTATAAAAAAAAAAAAAAAACCTTTTAAATAATAGACATAGGAAATATGATCACTTTGTAATACGAAGCCTTAGGCTTATAATATACTGAGGTATTATGATTACTTGGTACAATATGAGGATTAACATTATGTTGTGTGATGGGATTAATGAGGAGGGTGATACTCAACAGATATATATACATAAATAACGGCTAAATATGTTAAAAATGGTTAACAGTTTTTTTCTCAAGCAGAATGGGGCTTTTTATTTGTCCTGTGTTCCATTTGATCTTTGAATGATTTGATCGCACCCGGTTGCCATGGAGACGTCACTGGTGGAACGCATGTGGAACGCGGACGTTCCCGCGACGTCACTTCCGGTTTCGGCAAATTATGACCGCTTCCGGTATTTGCCGAAAAAGGCGCGAATTACAAATTATGGAAAATGAATGGATGACAAACAGCTGCCACAGGAAGATCAGTCCTCCAATTAGAACCAAGGAGGATTTACACGCCTACTGGATCCACCAATAGACTTTAGGGATTAGCCCTATTTAAGGACACAGGGAGGGGGGATGTGCATAGGATATGTTTATGTATTGTACATTGATACATTGTTATTATTGTTTTTAATTGTGGTCCCTGAGGAAGTTCTTATAGAACGAAACGCGTAGGACAACCTTCTGTTATTTGTATCCTATGCTGAATTGGTGACTACACTTTTTATCTAAATAAATTTTTTATTACTGAACCCTGACCTGTGGATGTCTTTTGGTGATACAAGGATCCAGAGGTGATAAGGAACACCAGCTAGCCCCCCATTCCATTGGGGAAGGCACCTTAAGAGCGCTTTTACTGCCTACATCCTGTGAGTGCACAAGATTACTGCGCATGAAATATTGTGTTTTATAACAATATCACACTATGTTTTGTTTTATGCTTTCTCTGTAGATTTACACAGCCACATCCCGAATCTTCTCTGTTTTGGTTTATACTATATATGATATAGGTCGCTTGTTTGGGTAACGACCTAGGGAGGCTGTCATACATCTTTATAAGCTAAGTACTATTGCTTTTTATATTATTTATCGATTGTATATTGTTTGGGATATACTTATAAGCTATTAATGAAAATATGTCATACCTGACCTGACAATCCATTAGATTTAGTACAACCAGATGGAGCGACATGTAAGGTATGTCATGCAGATTGTGGTATTTGGAATACATATCAAATCAATACTAAACATTTCATTTTATCCACTTCTATACTAAAGCGATAAAAAGTGCCTTTAATAATCACGTAAGATTTGTATTCCTTTTGGTACAGGTCATACCTCATACAAAGGAACATAAGGATAGGTGTATTAACCATAGCTTTCTTTTTAACTACAGGATGTGGATGTTTTGTGAACCAAATCCCACATTTCTGGTTACAAAACAGCATGGAGCACTATAGTCATACCTTAGATAGAAGCATAGGTGTTGATGTTTTTTTTTTTTTGTCTGTGATTTTAGTCAGTACTTTTTCTCTAGTCAGTCATACCAATCCCAGGTTCATCCAGACATTTCCTGTACCATCCTAGCCCATGTGTACATGGGTGTAGGAACTCGGTGGGGAGGCTGTAGCTTTTAAGATCATATGTTTCACTGTTTAAGATGTGAAAATAAAGCATATGTTAAAGGAGTTAGTTATTCCATTGTACTAATTTACTCCCTAATGATAATATATATTTCGCCTGTAGAAAACTGCATGGTTTGATACAGTCTCCCTACATAGGGTGGGATTATTATGAAAGGCTGCCACACAGATTTTCTTTGGTTCCTACACTGACTGATGCCTGTGTACGTATTTCACATATGCTTTCTGCCTATTGTCATTACTTTCGCCATGTAGCAGCAAACGTTAACATTTAGATTTACAACATCCTACTGCATGAGATAATTTAGAGGAAGGGTAATTGGAGGCTCAGGATCTCTGATCCAGCTATTACTCATGTCAAGCAGTGTTGTCAATACACATAACACACATCTTATTTTGTGATCATTTCTTCCTAAAGATAAAGAAGGGTTCTCTTGTCCTGCCCATCTATAATGTCTCCAAGTATGATGACAAGGAAAGAAAGCAATATTTATACAAACTCACACCTAGTTTGTACTGTAAAGATGAATAATCCTACACTACCAATCATATCCTATGAAGCATTCTAGCAGTTATGACAATACTTTAATTTGTCATTCCTAAATCGATCCACTGTATATTGCTAACAATTCATTTTCCATAGTTAATGATGTCTTAGAATACTACAGAATTGAAGAATTGAGTTCATGAGTGCACACAAACTGACATTGTCTCCACTTCAGATTTAGCCTATGGCAGTATTGCATATATTAAACTGAAAATGGCAGTGGAAAAAGTTGGGAAACCAGTTGGCAATTGCTTGGGAAAGGTTTTTGAAACACAAAATAAATGGACCAATTCCTATCAGTAGGGTTACCGTATATATTTTGTTAATATATATTCCTGCAATTATTGAAACAACAGTTGATTTGCTGGTATTACCTGCCCATGACATGTTTAGGCACAGGGCATGGCATTAACGCTGAGGCAGTTAATCAGAATTAAAAGCCAAGAATCATAACTCTAAGGTTACATGTTGTACTTCTGAACAGATTACTACTTACAAACTATCTACTGCATATACAGATTTCAAACTACAATCTACACTTTTAAAATAAAATATCTTGTTAAATGTAGCATAATTTCAAATACATAACTTTTTAATATAGTGTAATATGTATCTTAATTGTTCCCAGGACTGGACTCTTCTGCATAGCGATCTCAGATGTCCCACCTGGAATCTGCTGAAGCCACTGTCCCAATTGTGGGGTCACAGCTCTAAGTGCTCCTTTCACAACTAGGACTACTACCTCCTTCACTTTCCACATCATTTCTAGCTCCTCATTCAGTCTTTGGTATTTGTCCACTTTCTCCGACTTTTTGATGTTTTGGTCACTGGCTATTGCCACATCCACCATCACAAGACTCTTCTGTTCCTTTTCTACCACAACAATGTTGGGCTGATTGACCAGCATTTGCTTGTCTGTCTGAATCTAGAAGTCCCACAGAACCTTTGCCTTGTCATTCAGTCCTCCCCTCCGCAACTCGGCAGATCTGGCCATGAACAGGGAATGATGCTTCCATGCAGTCTGCAGAACCAGAACATACATTTCTTGATCTGATAGAGAATAGTGGAAATTAAACTCCCCAGTGGCACGTGCCACCATTCTAATGATGGCAGATGAAATAGCTACCATCCAGGAATATAACTACTCCTAATTTCAGGTTGCAAATGGAGTCATCTATGTCCCAGTCCTGCCCGTACATTACACTACCCCTTAACATTTACACAACCCTAATACACTACTCATTAACCCCTTCAATATCACTAAACACTGACCACCTACACTGCACCTAAACATTAACCAATGAACTATACTAATAGTAATCATTAACCACTACAGTACCCCAACACTAACTGGAGACATTTAGAAATCACTTGACTTCAGTCTTATGGTTTATTGCGATATTTCCACAAGCCCTCTTTTATTTTATTTTTTTTATTTTTTTATTTATTTTTTTTTTTTTTTAATTCTTTATTTTTGATGTGCATGAGGGTAACAAGCATTCTCGCTGTGCCACAACAGCCCTAGCGAGGTAAGAGTAGACTATGATGGTAACAGTATAGGCATATTGATATAACAGTGCACATTTTGGTTTTTTGTAAGGACATAAGAGTAAATATGTTTAACATTTCGAGTGGGTTAAGAAACATTCTATAGGTAAGCGCCACTTCAGCATATCACCAGTGTCCACACTAATCCGACAGTGGCATGGTAGGTATGTCATTCAAGTGAGGTTAAATAAAAGAGAAACAACATTTTTCCTAGAAAACAAGCGCTGATAGCATGCATCATGTAGAGCCATATACAGTTAGTCTCGTATAAAGTGTAGCTAAGAAGTAGACAGGTCTGATAAATAATGTGATGATACCTAGCCGCAATAACCAAGCGCTGTCCTGCAACTAGTTTAGCTTAAAGGGGACAGGATAAGTTACCATATCACCTGCCGTCTCTGGTGTGTGTCAGTTCTGAAGAGAAATCATAAACTTTATACAATATAGCGAATAATAAATAAAAAAAAAAAAGCAAACAAAAAACTTATGGAAAAGGAGATTCATATGAACCCCAGAACCGTAGGTGAAATATTAGTGGGTAATGTCCCATTGGAGCCTGGATAGTCCTGCGCCACCTCATGTTGTGGCCCCCGCATAGGCATCCGAGCGGGCCCTCTGAGGGACAAACGGGGTGACTCTAGTGGGGTCCCATGTGTGCGTCGTAGCCGTATTGCTTATGCCGTGTTGGGCGAGCGCGTCTCGTGGGAGGCCGATGGTTTCCAGCATGGCTGCCGCCGCTTTCAGGTCCCTGACCGCGTGTACCGCATCCTCTTTCAGGATGTGGAGTAGCCGCTGTGATCTCCAGCGATATGGGATAGCATGGGTGCGTAGCAGTGAGGTGAGTGGTTGGAGAGTTTTCCTCCATTTCAGGGTGTCCCCAGATAGGTCTGAGTAGAACGTGAGCGCCATGTTTTCAAAGGAGAGTGGCGAATTCCCTTTGGTTGCTGCCTGCACCGCTGCTTTCTCCCTGCTGCTGCCGAATCTAACAACCAGATCCCTGGGTGCGGTCTCGGGGGCCTTCTTAGGCTTCGGTATGCGAAAGATCCCGTCAGTCATAATGCCTTTTGCTTGCTTGGGCGTAAGTAGTGACCCTAGCAGCCTTCTCACCAGATGCGGGAGTTCCGCATCTGGGATCGCCTCTGGGACACCCCGTATCTTGAGATTCTTTCGGCGCCTGCCATCTTCCATCACTGCCAGGCGTTGTTCCAAGGTGGCTTGCTGTGCCCACAAGCCCTCTTTTAAATGATTTCCCTTAATTCACAGTTTATCATTATGCATTTTCCAATTCTGTTGATTGGTCTACGGTTGTTTTGAATATACATCACCTTGTTAAACATTATTAATTTATGCAGAAAGTAATTAAGAAATTAGTCTACAAATCATCATTATCATAATGTTTTATTATTGGACAGAAAACATTTTGTAGGTTACATAACATAATAGACTAACACGTATAAAAATAAATTGTGGTTTAAACTGAAGATTTCGGATCTATGTTTTCTTTATATTTTTTATTGATCATTTCACATGAATAAAAGAGTAAACTTCTTATGATGTGCACATCCATGCACATCCACTTTCATCCATTTAATAATAATAATAATAATAATTAATGATTGTAATGTTCTCCATCCTTTAAAAGTAAGCCATAATATTTTATATAACAACAGCAAAAAATGAGTAATCATGTCCTATTGAAAATTTACACACAAGCATAGCTTGCCAACCCCTCCCTTGATACAGCTCAGAACTTGCCAAATGTTAAGAGACTCGCATTACTCCTGCTCAGTTAATAGTACTATTCGTTTTTGTAGGTCACATTTCATAATCATTTTTAAATTTGTGTAAAGTATCTATTAAAGGAAGTGATGGAAGAAACAATTTGTACTTTTTCAGCTAACCCTGATATTTTATAATTATTTGTATCTAGGTAAATCGTTTTTAAGACAGACTAACAGGTATATTGTTTTCGTTGT